TGAGATGGTCAAACGGATTCAAATTACCATCATATGAATTTCGATTGATGCATTTACAAATGATTACCCTTGATGAACGAAGAAAGATTGCTCAAATATCGATGGTGCATAATGTACTATGTGGACATACATCGTCGAAATACATAACCAGCCAAATAAGAATCATAACACCACGGCATCGGACAAGAGATATAGATTTCTTATCACTACCAATAAGACACCATAATTATTCCAAATTTGAGCCCATAAATAAAATGCTTATTACATATAACGATTTTTATAAGAAATTTGTTCCTATTAAACCGCCATATGCAACTGATGGATGTGATACTAATGTTATTCCAATTTGTGATACTTATCTAATTGATTTCAATGTTAGTACTGATACTGTTAAACAGAGGGTAACTGAATTTTTTAAAAGAAGTAGAGTGTGGAGAAAATGAAAGAAATATTGTAAATATATTAATATGATATTTATAACAAATAGACCACCTTTGGCGAAGAAACGCCGTATGGTGCAGAATAATAATAATAATAAGAATCGTGTTAGATTGTGAATAAGTCCAAAATCAATTAAATTCAGGCGAATTTATTAGAAATTTTTTCGAAAACATCATTTTGCTCGTGAAATAATTTGAAATGGCCCCACCAAAAATGCCAAGAGGCTCCAAGCCATCAAGAGCGAAGTGTAAGTAAATATTTCGATTGAATCGGATTTAGATTGGATAGAAATTGAGCGACAAAATTGCGAATTAGTAATTTAACTCAATAAGGATAGATTTTGGAAAAATTTCGCAACAGTGAAGTGTAAATCTCAATGTGAAAATTTGTGTCGTTGACAATGTGTATTGTGAACAAGTCTGTGCGTGCACAGAACGACAACCGTTGTGTTTACAGTTCTGAGAATCTATAAAAACGGCTCGGTTGTTTACAAAGTCATTAATCAGATGCACAACTGTTTCAAGTCGACTGAAATCGGTTTAGCGTTCGATTTGAATTTGCTTTCACACGAATATACACATCAGGAAAAGGAATTTTGGACAGAGTTTGGATAAATTTGGTACAGTCAACAAACATACGGAAAGAATGCATGCATACACAAATGGACAGAGGAATATTTGTTGTTGGCATTATTGTGTCAGATTTGATGGAAACGGAATGGAATGCGATCGCTTGGATTTTTGTAAGCCAACAGAGGTTTACAAAACAAAACAAATTCGGATTAAAATTAAATTAAATTGTTTTGTTTCGTTTGCGCAAACTGAAGCATTACTGACACACAATTAGAATCGTTCATAACCGTGTCAATGGAATAGGACAGGGGAATGTTGATTCGAACACATTTGTGTCGAATTATTTTAGGAATTGTATTGGAAAATGTTGGAATCAATTAAATTTGATTGAATTCAGATGATTCTGTCAAACTGAATCGGATTTAAGGACAGATGAGACACATTTAATGAGATTGAAACATTCACTGCACTGTTGCTCAAATCAAAAAGTTCATATCATTTGGAATTAATTGGAATTTATTCTTTGGAATATTTTAGATCAAAACAATTCGCCCGTCACTTCATCAGCTACGCTGTCACGCGGCACTGCTGTAACGGTAACAGCCACACAGGCACCGATTATGAATACAAATCCAACGCAGGCTGGCCCAAGTGGTGTGAACACAATAACAACGCCGGTGGCAGTAACATCGAGTGCTGTTGCATCGAATACCGTAGTTGTTTCACAAACAAATGTGCCACTGATGTCAACCGGCGCAGGTAATGGCCACACCAGTCAAAGTCAGGAGACGATTGGTGCTGGAGCAAATAGTCGGATGAGTGTGGATGGCCTTAGTGACGGCGACAATTCGGATGCATATGCACCAGCTCAGGAGAGCAAGCATTCAAAGCATTTCAAATCGGCACAATCTGCGATGAATCGCCTTGCTGATTTTGCAAACTCGGACAGAATGAAGACGTTAAGCTATGAAGCACTGCAAGTACTTAACGAGCGGCTCATAGAGACATGGAAAGGTGCAAACGCATCATTTGATAAATTAATTGAAGGAATTAATGAAGGGACAGGAATCGAAATCTCATACGAGTACGTAATGGGACAGTTGGAAGACACGTATTTCGAGATCAGTGAGAAATTTCGATCGAGAATGGCGGAATTGGAACGTGAGCGTGCGAATCAATTTGCTCAAAGTAACCCAGCCAGTGAAGCAGGAGGTTCTGCTGGTGAGCGACCAATCAAAGTTATTGTACCAGTACAACAGCAAAATATAGTGAATACATGGGGAACATTCGATGGCAGACCAAAGGATTGGCCAGCCTTCCGTGACCTCTCACCATTGCTGTTCATAACAACAAGGATGTTGAAGATGGATACAAACTGTCTTATCTGATGAAATCGCTTAAAGGAAAGGCAAAGGAAACACTCGGACAAGGTTTTGTGACCGGAGGCAGCTATCAACAAGCGTGGGAGCGCATGATGGTTGTCTACAACAATGCATACAACATTGCGCGCGATTACACGCGTGATTTTTATCGTTTGCCAGTGTTGCAAACACCAGCTAAAGCGTCGGAATTGAAATAGATGTCAGACATCACTCACGAAACCATTCGTCAGCTTAACGCCTTGGAATTACTTGGATATTGCGAAGGCCTTTGACTCGGTCAACATTGATTTACTAATACGCAAATTGGATATTATGGGACTGAATCAACAATTACTCAAGTGGATCAAATCGTATTTGTATGGTCGCCAACAGATTGTCAAATTGAATAATCACATGTCGAGCCCCATTGAAGTTACATCGGGAACTGGTCAGGGTTACCCGATTGGTGCTACATTGTTTCTGTTGTTCATCATTGATTTACTAAAACACATAAGAAACTCAATTCTTCAGTCGTTCGCTGATTACACTCGCCTGTGAAAGCATATTAGACACTATGATGATTGTCTGCAATTGCAAGCGGATTTGAATGGACTTGTTGAATACTTTAACCGGAACAAGCTAAAGCTAAATGTATCTAAGACCAAATATGTGTCTTTTCATCGTGGCCACCTGAAATTTAACTTCGAATATTCCATTAGCAACGAAAAAATCGATCGAGTTGACGTGATAAAGGATCTTGGGGTAATACTTGACCATAAATTGAATTTTAATGCACACATTGAGTATATTACAGCCAAGGCGAAATCACGTTTAGCATGGATTAAACGATTTGGATATGAATTTGATGATCCATGGACAATAAAGAAATTATTTTTCACATTTGTATTGCCGATTGTGGAATATGCTTCCCAAATTTGGAACCCATACACCGATGAAAAAAT